TCATTGAGCCCCAGCTTGTTCCTGGTCCTCCAGCATCAGCAAGACGCTGTTTTACAGCCATCTCCATCCTTTTCTCACAGCTGTAGGTTGCTTCCTGGCCCCTCTGATATTGCAGCCGTCTCATCTACCCCACCTTAAGCACTTCCAGCAGCCACAGGATATAGTTAGTTTATCAAACTGCATCTCTTTATAGACATTTTGTGCTCAGCTATACCCTATCTGTGCTATGTGACCTGCTTTAAAACCCTCTGGCTCATTTCCTTCCTCCAGTCTCTGAGCTGCCTCGTGGCCCAGAGCACTCATGAGATCTGGTACTGGGAACTGCATTTGGGTCACATCTCTGGCTCCAAAGATGGTGTTGGCCAGAGCCCTCTCACACTGCAGAGCACACCAGCATGGTTTGCCTGCATTGTACTTCAGTATGGAGGCTTCTGCTGGCGTTGCAGACCAGGGCCAGCCTGGCCACCAACCATGCCAGCAAAGACATCTGCCTCATGCACTTAGTGAGCATAAGGATGTGGCAGCTTCATTCCTTGATGTAAGGTGTCTCCCTGCTGCTACTTACTGTAGTTTGGAGAGGTTTTCCTCGGCTAACAGCTGTCAGCTTTTTTTCCAGGGTGCAGGCAGTGAACAGCAAGCCTCTACTGGGAAACCCAGATGTGAGCGCACAAGAATTGGGAGAATACACTATGCAGGAGTCACATTAGTGCCTGCTAGGGCCCAAGACATTTACATATCCCCCCAGCAATTGAGTTATTTGTGTGTTTATCAGTTACTTCAGAACTGAAGTCTGATTTTGCAGGCAGTGCCCTCACCAGCTGACCACAAGGTCTGCATTGCTTGCAGAGGCACATAATGGCTCAATCAGGCATGTGCAGGCATGGTGTCCCTTCCTACATCTCTGAAAGCTCTAGGATTTCACCAGATCCCTCACCACATCACTCTCCTGTTAGAGTGGCAAAAAACCCCTTATTTTAAATTAAAAGGTTAAATTCTTTCCAAAGTACATTCAGATGCAAGCAGCAATTCAGTGACGTATACACAGAATCACAAGTTCAGAGAATTGTTCCATGTGTATGTCACACAGAACCACTTTGTATAGGATAGGGTCTGGTGAAAGCTGATTTTTATCAGCCCGTGAACTCACTCTCTTCACACAACCAATACTCTTGCGAAACATCTAGTAGCCAGTGGGACAGAGATGTACTACTTACCATCTCATGGATTTCCCACGGTGTCAGGATGCCTGCCTTGAGCAGGAACCATCTAATGCAGCCCTTTATGGCAAGTTCCTTGTTTTACACTGGCGTTTCCTCTTTCAGATGTGTCTTTCTGCTTTACGTCTGCAGACTTGTACTCTCTCCTGGAACAAATGGGTTTAAAATCAGGTTAATTCTTTCACTCCCCATTCCCCTCCCAATGAAACGGAGAGCAGCATGCCTCACTCGCTCCTTTAGGGTTTCATTCTGCTCTCCAACTCCCTGGTGGAGAATCAGAGCCAGAGCATGAGGATGTCTACCAAATGACATCTGCTAGGCCCTTGCAGCCCCTCACTCCCCTAGCCTGTCTCCCAAGACAGCAGAACTGGTAGAAGAGAATTTGTCCATGGGTAGTGCTGGGCTTTGGGGTTGCTGCAATCCTTGCCTAGCTCAAAACCAAGATAAGGGTAATTTTACCTCACTTGCATGACCTGCCTTAAGGAATTAGTGTTCATATTGTCACAGGATGCCCCCACGGGGGCTTTTCTGAGTGCTATTCCACCCCCTCCTATTCAAGATCCCCTGATTTAATAGAAGCTGTCTGCCATGTCCTATTGGAAGTGTACCTTGAGATATTTACTCATAATCTGAATAAACATAATCAAAGCTTGACAAAGGATGAATCCCAGTTACAGGCTGACTGAGAAGGACAGCTTTGTAGATGCCAATTCGCATTCATAACAAAGTAAATATTTGCTTAAGTACCCTTTTTTAATAGGAATTATGCATCTTTTAAGAGGTAGGAGTAAAGTCTTACCATGTCTTTTCCCATTTCAGGTCTCAAAACACCATACAACATCTACACATGAGGACAATGAATGTATCCAACAACTGCAGTGTCACAAGTCTAGAACTATATCACCATGTTCATCTCATTGAATTTGCTCTATATATCCTAATTTTCATTTTTGGAGCACTATTTAATGCCCTTGCCCTCTGGGTGTTCTTCTGCAAGACAAAGAAGTGGACAGAAACAAGGGTGTATGTAATCAATTTAGTCTTGGCAGACTGCTTTGTCATCTGCATCTTGCCTTCCATGGCCTATTTGCTCTGGAATAAGGCAACCCGAGATGAACTCTGCCAATTTATAGAAGCAATGTATTTTATCAACATGGTAGCGAGCATCTACATAATTTCATTTATCTCCATTGATCGATATATTGCCATAAAGCACCCCTTGAAAGCCAGGACCTTCAGGTCTCCATCAAAGGTTGCCCTTCTCTGTGGGCTTCTGTGGGTCTGTGTGATAATCAGTGCCATCTTACAGCTTTGGCAGAGACACGCCACTCTCTGCTTTCAGAAGGATACCACTGCACCTGCTGGTGTGAGCCTGTTTTACATTTTCTTCATTTTTACTCTTCCATTAGCAGTCTTGACTTTTTGCTCCACAGAAGTAATCAGGAACCTTAAGAAACGTCTGAACACAAATTCACCAGAGGAGAAATTAATCCAGAAAGCTGTTCACATTATTTATGCAAATCTGATTGTATTTCTAGTATGTTTTCTGCCATCCTATCTTGGCTTACTTGCCAGGTTCATAATGGACAGTGTCGGAGCTACCTGTTTCCTGCTCCAGGTTATGAAGAACTTCTCCTCTGTGACAAGGTGTATTGCCACGTCCAACTGCTGCCTGGATAGCATCTGCTACTACTTTGTGACCAATGAGTTCTGTGAAGCTCTTCCACTGCCCAAACCCAGCACTGAAAAAACAGATCAAATCCACCCCTTGCAGACACTCACTTCCTAAAGGAAGGTGGTGGGCAGGGGGGACAAAACCCACCAAATCCCCAAATCCCCACAACAAGTCTGTAACATCAAGAGAAGATACAGCTTCAGCATTATTGGGATAACTATTGCTCTTTCTCTCTAGGGAGATCTTTGTTAGGTTTAGCATTACTAAGTTAATTGTGATTTATACTCTGCTTCTATTAAACAAATAAGTTATTTCACAGAGATGTGTAAAAATGTGTATGTAATCACTGGTCATTAACATGTCTCCATTCCACCCTCCAGCACCTACTTCTTACTCTTGCAGGAAGACAGGTGACCCGTGTATCTCTCCCTGCTTTAGTTCATTTTGTCAATAGATCCTTATTGCCAACATGTACAAAAGAATACATCATGATTTACCTCATTGTGTATTTCAGGTTGTTTGCATTATTAAAATAATCCAGTTTATTTTTATCGTATTCCTCTGCTGGGCTGGGAAGGGTCCAGGTGGTACCAGCCTATTACTAATTACACAGCCCTACAAAACAGCTTAGACTCTGCTGACTGCCCTTCCCCTGCAAGTCAGTGGGTCAGATAGATGCAAAGGAACGCTTTTAGGATGAAAGCAAGATTTGTCCAGTGCCATAAAGGCACAAAGTCCAGGAGATTTCAGATCTGAGTCCTTCTGCTGGCTGCCCTCCTGCTGCCCTGCCAAGCCCTGGCACAGACAGACCTCCTGAGAGCAGCCATCCCCAAGGGACTGATGCTCCCACCCGTGCAGAAGCACCTTTAACACGGCCTAGGCCTTTGCCACCCATGCATTGCTACTCCCTGCATTTATCTTGTGGCACCAGGCTGGGCCCCAGCTTCACCCTCCCCAAAGCAGCTCAGAGCCAGAGTATCACCCCCCAGCTGGACACTGCTGGGTCTGGCTTTCCACAGCCTGTCCCCAGTGCTGTCCCTAACATTTCCATGAGGGCAATGCATTTGCCCATGAGTCAGCAACCTCAAAAAGTCAGGGGAGATGGGGAGCAGGTTGACCCTTACGTGTTATTCAAATGTTCCTTAGGGTGGGTTTTTTTTTTCTTTCTAAATACTGAAACGTCTCCAAAATGGCCTCTGAGCTCTGCTCAGAGTGCTCCAGGAGACAACGTGGAAGAGTCTTCCCTGCCCACCTACAGAGTTTCCCCTGTGACCTACCTCTGTTCTTCAGGGAGCCCATGGCTGCTGCTCAATCTGCTGTTGTCACCTTTGGGACTGTGAGCTCAGGAGACACGCGTGAATGGGACAAATCCTGAGGGAGTCAGAGTCTGGCTCCCATCATCTGGCTCACATAGATGGGACTGTAACTGCTGCAGCCAACTGGCAGTAAAAGCCATCAAAATGACTATGAAATACCACTGGGGCACGTTCTTAAACATGTTTCCAAAGGTCCTGACACTTACAGCACGCTCATTGCCACACTGGTATCCGTCGCCCATTCCCGGTTGGCACTGACTGTCATTACCAGCTTAGGCTTTTCAGTGATGCTGATGAGCAGTGCTAGACAATCTGGCTGCTTCACAGAGGCACAGAAATTCTGTCACCTTTCTTGCAAAGACACTGAAGAGTAGCGTGCTGGTTCCCCTCGCCCCGGGCTCACTGTCACTGGGTGCATGAGCACCAATGTGCCCGCCGCTGCCTACCTGGGGCACGCTCTGCAACAGCACCGGAGGCTGCATGGGCTTCTGTGCTCCCTGGGGGGCCTTTCACTGCCAGAAGGGCAATTTGCAACCACTCTGGGTTTTATTTCAGAAATTATTTGTTTTCTCAGAACTAAAACCATTAAATTTTAATTACTAGTTTGTGTGAGGTGAGTGGGGGGAGCACAGACTGGGTGGAAAAAAGGATGGTGAAGCATTGAGCTGATGTGAGTGGAACAACAGAGGGCACCAGAGACTCAACCATCACAGAAAAAGGTGATAAATGAAGCACTTTTGGGGAACAAGAGTTCATTGCTGCATTTCAGCACTTCCGAGCTGTCAACAGCAGGCTCCCAGGCAGCTGTGCCTCTCACAGAGCAGCACCCTGCACTGGCACCCACAGCCCTGACACCTCTCCCCTGCAAGGACACCAGCATCTACACCGCAACCCTTCTGGGGACTAAACCCACCTGACGGCCCCACAAGAAGCAGGTAATTTCTTTTAATTCTTCCCACACCAGTGTATGGCTGTGTGCTCTGCTCAGTACTTCAGGGTGTGCTTTCTCACCTCTTAACTGAAGCACTAGTGAGGGCTGCCTGCTTGTTAACATATGGGTCAGTCCTGAGCTGTACACAGATGCCTCAGGTTTCCTCCTGCTTTCACAGCTGTTACGCCTCACTGTTTTGCAGCCATGTATATCACTCAGGGGGGTCTTCGTCCCTCGCTGTGGCTCCACACCACTGCTTCTTACCAGCCCTCTTCTGTGAGTGTGGACACCCAGCTCCAGGCTCACTGTGTCACAGGACCTTGGGAACTGCCACCAGCTCCGGGCTTACACAGGGGATTCGATGGAGCTGGGATGCCCAGCCCAGCCCGGAGGGCTCAGCTGCTCCTTGGGGCAGTGCTATCCATGCAGAGTCTGGCTTTTGCACTGCTGAATGGCCACAGTAGGCTGGCAGGGAATGGCTGCAGGGTAGGTGGTACCACAGTGCATCCGAGGCTCTGTAAGTCTGAAATCCCAAGAGAGCCAGGACACACACTGTGTGTTTGTTCCTCCATAAATTCCACCCTAAAAGTGACTGTTATCCCCGTGGTTCAGTAATGCCATACCAGTTCTGGTGCTTGGGCAGGTGCCGCACTTTCCTCCGTGGTTGCCAGATCCATCTCCCAGTCTCGGACACTAAAAACAGTACACTTAGTTCATGCAATGGGACATTTTAACTACAGTTTAGATGTTGATGCTTAGAAGCTGCTGACTTATAAGGCAATGTATTTATAAGAGATTGTAGGAATCTGAGTGCCTTCCTTTTCTGCTTCACTGTAAACACTTCCTTTATGAGCTGCAGACTGCCTGGTTCATCCTCCGCAGCTTCCTTGCTGGTAGCAGATGCCTTGAAATATTTAAAGGAATATCAGGAGATAGTCTAAGTTCTTGGATTCGTGTTTTCTGCTCTAGCAACATTTGGGCTTCCTATCTTTGCAGGTTGAGATCAGACAGGTGTGCTCACTTTCCCTTCTCTCTTTGGAGACTTGCTACCTGCTAGGGCTGGTGGTGGTACCCTTGCTGAGCTATTCCTTCCCAGCACCCTGCAGTGAGAGGAATGGGTTTCTGCTTGGGGGCAACCTGCCCGCAGCAGGCACCCACCCACCAGCAGCGTTCCCACCACCCCAGGAGTAAAGCCACCTGAGCTGCCTTATGGCTGGAAGGGCTCAAGTCCTGGGGGGGTTCACAGGCCTGGCAAGACCCAGAGCAAACCTGCAGGTTGAATTCAGCAGCAAAACAAGGGGGCAAAGGCGGAATGCTGCCCAGCTCTGCTTCAGGCTGCCCTAAAGCCAGTGGCTCTCTGAAAACCACAGCAGCAGTAAAGATATATCTATTTATTTAACAAAAATTACCCTTTTGCTTTGCAGACCCTTTGCTATTACCCGAACTGCGCAAACCAGGACTAATGGGTGGGCAAGGCAGGCCAAACCCTCTAGAAGCTGCAAGAGAAGGTTACCTCTGTGTTTTTATGTTGGCTGGTGGCAAGTGACAGTGTTACTTTGATGGCTGAGGGATAGACTTGATAGGTGCTGATGGGCCACTGAACCCCCCCAGGGCTGCCTACATGTGCAGCGCAGGGGCACGAGGAGCTGTAGATCTGTGAGAGCAGGGGCACTGCAGCAGGACCCAGCCCAGAGGACCTGTCCCTGAGCTCAGTCTCATGCCTGCACTTTTTTCTTGCAGAGACAGCTCATCATGGAGAACTGCACCAAAGATGACAACACCCTGCAGAATAGCATTGTGCTATTTCAACTGATTATCTACATCCCAGTATTCTCTTTGGGGATCCCACTGAACACGGTTGCCTTCTGGGTCTTCTGCTGCAAACTCAAGAGGTGGACCGAGACCAGGGTGTACATGATCAACCTCATGGTTGCGGACAGTTTCCTGCTCTTTGCCCTGCCTTTCCTGATATATTTTACCAAGTACAACCATCCCACAGACAAGCTGTGTTTCACCATACGGAATATCTATTTTACAAACATGCCTATGAGCATCCTTATCATCACCCTGATTGCAATTGATCGATACATTGCGATCAAGTTCCCTCTAAAAGCAAGGATTCTTCGATCCCCATTGAAATCAGCTTCTATCTGTGGGTTGCTATGGATAACACTGATAATTTATTCCTACATGCGTCTAAAATCTCATCAAAGAATGGAACAATTCTGCTTTCGGAAAGAATCCATTCAACCTAATTATCCATTGTTATTCTCCATTATCTTTGGGTATTTTATTCCCTTAGGGATTGTTATTTTTTGCTCAGTACAAGTCATCAAATGTCTCAAAAACAAGATGGCCACAAACCCTCATGAGACAAAGTTAATCCAGAAAGCAATCCACATCATTTCTGTGAATTTATGTGTGTTCATCATATGCTTTTCACCTCTCCACATCACACTGCTCTTGCGGTTTGCCGTGGATGTTGCTCAAGCTTGTTCTCTGGTCTCGGCAGTCAGAGCCTCCATTCAGATCTGTGCATGCTTAGCAAATTCTAACTGCTGTTTGGATGCATTTTGCTATTACTTTGCAGCCAAGGAATTTCCAGAATTTCCTTCTCTGTTTCCCACTTGTATATCAGTGAGGTCCAAGATGAACCAAAGCCAAGAGTCACAGCCACCGACAGATCAAGTCGTGACACAAACAAGGAATAGTGCACTATAGGTGTTAAGAGCCACAGTGCTGCTGAAGTTTCGAGGCAGGGGGAATGGGATCACCTACAGTATTTGCAATCATTGTAGGTACAGGCATACCTGCAAAAAGGGACAACTCCCTCCAAGGGGTCTGATATCAACTTGAATTTTGTCCTTCTGTCCTCAAGTGACTTGATTCCAGCTCTGACTATTGTCTTGGATTCTTGTATCACACCTTCAGGCATCTTCTGGTCAAGAGGGAGAGCCATGTGTTATCGAGAACAGATTATAAAACCTTGTTTGCCCCATGAACTTATTTGTAAATATCATGCAGCTAAACATAGGACACTGAGTACCCTTAAAGCAACACACAAATCCACATCTAGTACTGTAATATCTTAAAAACAAGAAAAAGCTCCTGTGCTACAATGCCAAACCTGATACATCTCTGCTACTCATATCAAAGAATTTGCTCATACAGTGGTTGTTTCCTGACAACCTATATAATTTTGAAGCTTGCAGCTATTGCCAGGATGCAGCTCTTGCTGTGCATGGAGTAAACTGCAGGAGTCAGGCAATGGCCTGAGACTTTTGCTCCATTCCTGTCATATAACACTTGTATTAGCTTATGGCAACACCCAGGCCTTTTTTGAGACTAAAATCACTGTGGCTATAAATAAAGCCATTACTGCATGGAAAAACTGAGCTATGCAAATTGTTGTGGACGACAGAAGAGACCCTTAGCACTGTGTATACCAAGTATAAAGGGGTGAAGATCTAATCTCACCCAAGTGACACCCACAAGCCCTGGCAGCAGGTTTGTCGTTGTACTTTAATGGGATCAAATCTTCAATGGGTGTCCTGTCTGATGAGAGGTGATCACATCTGCCTGAGTTGTCGCAGCCTCACACTGCAAGAGTGTTGATGCCCAGAACACAGCAGTGAGCAACACGAAACAGGTGCAGTCCTGATCCCTCCCTCAGCATCCATGAGCTATTTTCAGAGGAGGTGTGGTGAGAGTGGGGTGTGTACGGCCCTTCTGCAGAGACAGGGCAGACCCACAGCAGAGGGCTTCTCAGCATTGTACTGTGTGATGAAGCACTGTTTTGGATTTGGGTTCTTTTCTCTTTCATCTGCCTGGACAGTGCATGGTGAGGGTTCAACAGCTCTCCTGCTCCTCATTTTGAGATACTTAACTCTTTCCATGCATTATACAGAGAACCTTGACATACCCTAGCCGCATCCTGCACCAGGCATCAGTTTTAATGTCTGGCTTTCCGGGTACCAAATTCCTCCATAATACCCTTGCTTGCTAAGTATGCACGGCGTATCCTCCCAGTCCACAGGGAAAGGACAACAGAGCAGCTCAAACAATTAAGTCACAAAGGGAAGTCCTGGGGCATCAGAAGGAAGCAACCCACACTGAAACCTGGTCTGAGAGAAGAGCCAGTGTCAGGATGTGACTACTTCATGTTTATCTGCATAGAAATTTCATCTAACATTTTACCACATAGTCACTTCAATAACTTAAGGTCAGCGTGGGAAATATTAGAGTTTTTGAAATGCATGTGATAGCTATATCTCAGTTGGCTTTACAGTCCTTGACTTTCAGCATCTTCTTTTAAACCCCTAAAAATCCCTCCAGGGAATGCAAACCCATATTCTACTAATTTAAATCTACAGATGATTAACTTTCTTAGTGACAACATACAAATAGTTCCCTTACAAGTGACCTGTGACTTTCTAGTGTCTGCAGACCACATGATGAAACCACTGTCTAGACACTGGCCAAGCAACATAGGAAACAACTATTCCCATCACAGAAAGTACTCGCCATCCAAATGTTAGATCTACCTGCTTTGTGTCAATACTTTGGCAGAGGTCTCAGCATGATGGAAGCTGCAGTGAGCAACTGCAGCATAAAAATGGATGAAACTACTCAGGTAATTCAGTTAATCATTTATGTCCCGGTTTTCTTCTTTGACGAGAGTCTTTAAAAGGCAGAATGAGAGCCAGACAGTGTGCAGTGATCAAGTTGGTCACATATACACACAACCCTTTTGCTCTGCTTGCAGTGAAATACCAGAGCATTAAATAATGTATCAAAGACAGGAAAAGGTACAAGAGACAGAGAGTGCCTGATCTTAAAAACCATCTATTGCTCAAGGAAATGCCTGAGTGTTGCCACCCTTGTAGATGTCAACAAATATGCTGCAATTAACTATCCTCAGATAGCAAGAGGCTTAGGGTCCCCGTTATGCCCATTCTGCTTTATGGTGTGCTGTCAATCTTCATGACAGGCATTACTTACCTGTCCAGGCAAGTGGTGTTCAGCAAGTAAAAAGACTTCTGGTTTTGGAAACAATGCAGAGGGCCTTCAAAAACACTTCTGGCTGGGGGATCCCCTTCTGGGGTTTTGCACTTCATTAGTTATAATGAATGCCTGTTCCTCACAGATTATTATGAAAATTTTTATTATTTTGAAAAAATATAAAGGCCGATTCATATCAACCTGTTATCCTACTGTTAATCCAGAAAGCAAACAACTTACTTTTTCTGCAAACCCAGTCATGTTCATGTTTTCTCCCTGTTAACATGGGGTACTTTGTCCAATGTACAAGGGGCTCCAATTAGGTCATCTAATCTGAAATAAAAAACAATAATGCTTTTGTGCATGTGGCTTCATGTATAGGTCTCATATGCCACTTGCTACTGTTTTGTAACCAAAGAATTTCAGAGCATTTTCTTCTTACCCAAGCCTATAATTTTTAAATCAAGATAAGACCACAGACAAGGCACTCTATTAAACTAAACAGCTGCTGTGGTTTCATCCCAGCCAGCAGCTAAGCACCACAGAGCCACTCGCTTACTCCCTGTCAGTGCCAATACCAGTACAACAGCTGCACTAAAGAATTTATAGTTGATATTTCTATAGGAAGCCAAGCTTACTGCATATAGAGCCGTACAAACTGAATGTTTTTTTCTTGTAGCAGTAAACTGAGGTCACCCACCATTTATGTTCGACATTTTAAAAATTGTGTTCCTTTTTCTTATTGTAAAGTGGAAATTTGTTGACTTCACAATATCCTTGTCATCATTAAGTAATATTTTTTGTTGTTTGTACTGAATGCTACGAAAACAAAAAAGGAAACATTCTTTTGCAAGTGAAAATAAAGCTATCTCATAGTAATATATCTATAAATATTCATTTATTACCATTATACATCAGAGTCCTCTATTATTAACACCAAATCTATACTGGAGATTATGAGAGGAGACTTAGCTACCATGATATCAGATCTGCCTTACAACAGGATATTTCTAGTGCAAACCAAAGATGAGCAAGGAACTTTCTGATTACCTGAAGAAGTATGTACTACCTTGGACAAAAAATATTATCTGGTTCACGTATCAAGTTATAATGATGTTTATGATGCATTTCTGACACCTTTCTTCAGTCTGAACAAAACTTCAGTTCCTTAAGTGCTCCCAGTAAACGGAACAGATGATTTATCAGCATCTGAGCCACAACCAACTCCCAGCTATCATACAGCACTGGAATAGCAATCCATGAGGACATCGGCATGGTTATCCACAAATCTTTCCCAGTTCCTAGGACAAGAGTCTGGCTAACGACAGTGGAGAGCAGCAACCACAGTACATCATCAGCTCCAACAAGCAGGGCTGGACCATTGCATTCTGCTAACATTTCAGCAAGATATAATCTCTCTGCCCCTTAAAAGAAAAAGATTCTAATAATCGCTTAAACTTTAAATGAGCAAATTGATGCTGCAGTCAATATTTAGGCTTGAGAAAAAAAAAAAAAAAATGCAAGGAAAAGCCTACAAAGTAATCCAGAGTCTTCCTCCTAAGTGAGTAGCCAACAGATTTAGAATTTTTAGCCATTTTAAGCAGGGAAGGAAGGGGCTGGCATAAGACAGTGTTTTGCTGTTTGGTGGCATTTAGGCAGGCCTGAAATGTGAGTTCTCACCAGAGGTTTGGGCTCCAGCAGCACTCCTCTCCCAGGGGATGAAGGACACACATCGGGGAGTTCTGCATTTTAGCGAGTCAGGTGCTGCTTTCAGGTTTTGGAGGTAACTCTGCATTTTTGGTTTTCTCAGCACAGTTCCAGTCGCGAGCATTGCCCAGCAGGCTCCAGGGGACTCTGCAGGCATCGAAACAGTGGCAGGCAGCTGGGGGCACAGGCTTTGCCATGCCCTCCCTGGTATAGTTTGCACAGAAGTACACGGCCAATCCCTTCGGTGTTGATGCTGTGGGGGTAGGGAGATGGCTGCAGTACAGAGGAGAGCCTTGCAACAGCATTATCTGCTGTTGCTCAGTTCCTGTGTAGTGCTAAGGAAGGGGGAAAGGGAAGCAGTCTTGACAGACAGGGTTGGTCACTGTGCAAAGTTGATACAGTTAGCCTAGCACTGCCATTTCACAGGTTTCCATGCTAAAAATAAGACTAACACATTCTACTCTCAGCCCTGTAGTTCTGCTTTGGTCAAGATCTGCTGTTGCAACACCATCTCTTCCCATGAGAAAAGCAGGAGAAAAACCCACACAGGGCAGAGGCACTGCAGAACTAGAACACTGCAGGGTAGCACAGTGCCCCATGTCCCCCTCACACATGTGGAGGAGGTACCGGTACCACTTCTCACCTTGCCAGGGGGCCTGTCCCACAGTGATGTGCCAGAAGCTGTAGCCAGCAAGGAACAATCTCTGGGAGTCAGAGGAGACCGAGACCTTCGCCAGCAGAGAGGGAGGCAGGAGCCCATCAAACTTGAGCTGTCCTGTCTATTAGCAATCTGTACTGGGAACACAGGAAAACCTCACAAGAAGGGTTTCTTTTGCTGGGAAACAGCCTCGAGCCGGTCATCTTGGAAGAGCTTACAAGGGAAGGAAAAACGATTATGCAGAACAGAAATAAGTCTTAGAGATCAAGAAGTATAAAGATCAAATGGATCTTAGCAAATTCTTCCTAGATAGGAAAATCTACATACAAATTACAAGCAAAGAAGTGAGATCACCCAGGACTGCTCCTGATAAAAACAACAGAATTGTTGGGGTATGTCCTGAAAACCATCCGACTACTTTGCAACAGCTTTCAGCAAGGATGAGGAACCCAAGTAGTCCAAAATTTTAAAGGAATTGGCACATGAAATCTCACACCAGCAGCAAAGCTTTTTAATAAGTCAGTCAAATCAGGATCAGGGGGCAGAAACCACCACACACAGCCCCTTCCCTAGGGCGGGGAAGAAAGCAAAGGGTCTGGCCTGTAACAGCTCTACTAAGCTCAGATCTGAAAGATGTACAGTTTCACAACACATCTGAATAACGATAGATGGGAGGGAACAAATAGAAGCAAAACCTAAGTGGCACCTCCCTTTACATGAATGTTTTGTTTCACTGGCTTCTTTCACTAAGAAAATTACTTCTCCAGCCATGGTGCCGGAGACACTGGCGTCAGTAAAAGGTCGTTCTGAGCACGTTGTGAGCGGTAACGCACTTCGCACAGGCAGCGGTGCGGCAGGCCCCCGGACCACCCTGAGGGAGAGCTGCCAGCAAGGGAGGCAGAACGCAGCCCCAGTGTCACGTGCCCTGCGCCACGTGGTGGCAGCATTCACGGGGCTGAGGTGGAACTGCGGAGGCTGGGGGAAAGAGCAAGTGAGCACCATTTATCCACGGCAGAAGTGATAAAACCCGTGACTGGATGGTGGAAGAAGGGGGCCGTAAGCAGCTGCAAGAGTCTGGAGGGTTGCTGATAGGGAGCTGAGGTGGAATGAAGAGAAGCGTGAGGATCCTGACCCAGCAGTGTCCAAGAATCAGACAGGGACCCGAGAGCCGTGTCAGGAAACACGTAAGTTCTCCACAGATAACACTTCATCGTAGCTTTGCCTGCTGGTAGCTGGAGTTGAGTTGATCTGGCATATCCTGGTGAACCTGCTGATCACAGCCAACAGCTTTGTGCCTGATGACTTGGTTTGTCCCTCCCCTGAAGCCTCACCAGGCTGGTGGGCAAACATAGCTGCCCTCGTCTGGCAACCACAGCACCAAGATGTGGATGGGAAACATCATGCTATGAACGTACTTGATTTTCACTGCTCACAGTTAATACCAGTAGTGATTGCCTTGACACAGACAATAGGAGTGTGTGGACAACACTTGAAGATGATGCAAAGTGAAGTGTTTTCTGCGCAGAGGTGAAATTATCACAACTCAGTAGCTGGATGAGTGTGAAAACTAAAGTACTAATAAAGACCATGACATGAAAATGATGGTGGTTGGAGATCAGAGCTGGGTGTACTGATAGGTCAGTAACTACTTATAAGCATCCACCAGGGAGCCACAAGAAAGGCAAGCACAGTCCCTAGAAACTCTGGAGAAGTATTTAAGCTAAGCTCTCTACTGACTATATCCTGGCAAGTAATTAATCTCAAAGGTTGGTTTGTAAAGTACAGACAGACAATACAGAAATACTCCTGAAGCTACTCTAAGATGACCTGGAAAGTGAGAAGGCAAAATCTGTTTGCCCAAGACAGCAATTCAAGGTATTAACAGTGGGACCTTTGAGCTTGTTGATCAACTTGTCTGAGCTCTTGTAAATGGATTGCAATGGACAGCCAAGGAGGCACCTACAACCACAGAGAAGTCACAAAGTCAGCAGGTCACAGGGTCACTGTGCCACATTTTATCAGAATTGCTGGTTGATGAGTACTATGGAAGGTGAGAGAATTACCGTGATTCAGAACAAAACTCAGTTATAATAATCACAAAACTGTCTGCAAACCACAGCCTTCCCCTTTCCAACAGCTTCGTGAATGGGACTGGGGGCCTGCTGGGGTGGCTGTGTTCTGGGGCTCAAGCAGTGTCAGTCCCCGCAGGAGTAGCAGAGAGAAGACCTCAGGACCCTCCAGGAAACCAGGTCCCCTCCAAGCAATATGCACAGACCGTTGGGCAAGAAAGGTCAACAGGCATTGCCCAGGGAAACATCAGGTACTGGAAAGTAAATCAAAAGAAAAACCCAAAGCCATTTCATCGCTGGAGGAACTACTACAGGGCTGCATGGCAGATGAGCATTTCACCTTGCTGCAGGGCTATTGCAGGCTCATCAGTCAACAGGGGGTGGTACGTGCCACACTAATGGCAACAGAGGAAGCTCAACCCCTGTGAAATGCACTGAGGAGGGGTGGGGGTGCTTCCTCCACCAGCATTGCTGCTGTCACAGCCACTGGCAAATGGTCATGCAGGACACCTCGCTGGTCACATGCCAGGCGCACTGCTAGGAGGGCTCAGCATACCTGCACGTCACATCGCAGCTGCTCTGGAGGAACATTCACTCTCTCCAAGGACAGCAAGTGAACAGGTAATTCATCCTGGCTATTTGCTGACATGGTTCTTTGAGCTCTGCAAGGCTCACCCGTTCCCCAGCCATGGTGAGACACCAAAATCGTGATGGAGAAACTGAGAGAAGGCTGGAGCCTATGTATTTTCACAGGCTTATTTTGATACTGGCCACATTGGACATGTTTTGGATGCTTAAGGGCTGTCTCAGCCTTTGCTGGATGTCCCAGTTATCTGTTACAATCTACCATTATATATTCTGGGATCATAACTCATTCCTCATGTCCAAAGCACAAAGCTGCTGCAGATATTGGCTGTAGTACATTTCCTCATCTCCAAAGAGGTCTCCTGCATGATTCCTCAGCAGCATGATTTTCAAAGCTAGCTGAGCGCTGCAGATACACATAGATGCTGCAGCACTGCCCTATGGTTTGGATCACGCGGGATGCTTTCTTGCCCCAGGAACTTGCATCCATGGAGCCATGATCCCCTTGCAGGGAAAATCCAAAGACATCTCAGACCTCCCAGGTCTCTTCTGTCCATGAACAGCTGTACCTGGAATATACTCCTGCATCAACTCCACCAAAGCAGGAGGGCAAACAACAATATTGTCCAGGGTAATACAACCACCTGCTAGACCAGATACAGCTCATCTCTCGATTTCATGCGGCTCTTGGTCACATTTCTTGGCATGGAACTAGTGGGGCTTTCAGTCTTGGAATTGTGGCTGATTGCTCTAATATTTCTGAGATGAAGACCAAATTTCATGGTCCTTGAAAGGTATCATGCAGACTCCAGTACTCTGATGTTTTCTGCAGACCACTAATTGCTACCAGTGAGTACAAGATTCAATGGCAGCTAAAAACTAATGAAAAATGTACTAATAATTGCTTTTATCACTAATGAGAAGTAATGCAGAGACAGTTCAGGACTGAAAGAGGACAGCTGTCCATTTGCTGCACATCTCCCAGAGCATTTTGAGCTGTGAGGATGCTCACTGATCCCTGAGCAGCACTACAAGAGAAAGGATGAGAACTGGGTTTAGGCATCCCCTTTCCATTATGAGATGGTTGTAACAGATCACATAACTCCTAGATGCAGGATACCTGTTGCTGCCTGATCTGAGTCTGGCCTAAAACAGAGGCCCAAGAATTTTCCCCTGCTGTCCACAAGCCATCTTCCCTGCATGCGACCCACTAAGAACCTGTGCTTTTCTCTCCTCCACAACTGATCAGGCTCATGTCCCACTCCCTCCCCTTCCCAGTAGGTACCCTACAGCCAGCTCTGCTCTGCAGAGTGATCTCTACGATCTGGCTTTCACTGTTAGTAAAGCCCTGAACTATCTTAATTAATCACGAACTCAGTCAAGAGTCCAGCTTCTAAAAGGTTTTATCTGCTTTTGCAGGAACTGTGCCTCTTAATACCCCCAGAATGAACCTCAGCAGCTGCAATATCACAGCCTCTGAAAGCTTTCCAATTGTCCAGCTGTGTGTTTACATTCCAGTTTTGCTTTTGGGCATTTTGCTGAACGTGTTGGCACTGTGGGTGTTCTGCTGCAAACTCGGCAAATGGACAGAAACCAGAGTTTACATGGTCAACTTGGCTGTGGCTGACTGCTTGCTGCTCTTTACTTTGCCTTTTAAAACTTTATCCCAGTTCCATCAGCTGAAGGTAGGTAGATGGTGCCTGGCTCTGGAAGGTGGCTATTTCATAAACCGCTTAATGAGCATCGCTATCATCACTGTTGTAGCAGCCGACAGGTACCTTGCAATCAAGTACCCTTTGAGAGCCAAGGTGCTGAGGTCACCGCTGAAGGCAACTTTTGCTTCGGGACTTCTCTGGATAGTCATCATCTGTGTGATGTCCATCATTAAAATGTTAGAGGACCGAGGACAAGATGAACTTTGCTTTGAAAAATCTTCTGTTAAGCCCTCAGTGATCACACTGTGTGCTATTATTACAGGGTTTTTCATGCCATTGATCGTCTTGAGTTATTGCTCCATACAAGTCATTGCAGAACTCATAAGAAAGAAGAATGAAATTTGTCACAAGGAAAAGTTAATCAGGAAGGCTGTTTACATTGTGTCTGCAAACATGGCTGTGTTCATCATATGCTTTTTACCTCTTTACCTCGGGCATCTCCTTCGCTTTATAATGGACTCTATCAGCTCCAACTGCTCTGCAATACAGAGGGTTAATAATTTTGTTCACCTTGCCTCAGTCCTCGCAAACACAAACTGCTGCCTGGATGCTGTTTGTTACTACTTCGTCAATAAGGAATTTAAGGAAGCATCTCCCAAGCTAGTGAAGTCCAAATCTGAAGCCAGTGAAGAAGCTGAAACTCAGCTCCCATGCATAACACGTTAGTGCAAAACACATGCAGCGCACATTTTATACTTGCTATGTTCAAGTTCAACTGGGACTCAATAGCAAACTTTCACACTTTCTTTTTGTGTGAGTGGGATGGAGGGACTTTCTGCTAATGGGAAAGACTCAGACATGAAAATTAGCCCTGATTCAGACAACTGCAGCAGTGAAGATCCTGATGTAATGATCTAGGCTGCCACTGATAATTCTACCTTATGCAAATTCAAGTAAAATGATAGCTTTCCCGTGCAAATACTGTCTTACATTTTCCCAGAAATCCCAAAACAAGTACAGCCAGAGGTAAAGGGGAGCTTTTTTGTCCCTTGCCCCCACCTTGAATTATCTTTTTATGCAGCTGTGACAAAGAAAGAGATTATTCCAAATATAATTTAAAAAAAAAAAAAAAAAAGTCAAAGTGAAACCAACTGCAGAAAAAGAGTGCAGAATGTTTTAATAAGCCAGAAATGTCTTGGGTTTTAGTTGGTAGTAATACACAGTCACAGTAGCAGAGGTAGATTTCGGTTGCTTTAGACAACTTTACAGTACCATTTATACTACCTAACAGCTACAAAATGGTTATCAACTGCAATACAAGGTCAGAAGAAATTGCAATTGCTTGTTCTGGGGAAAAAATTTACATCAAAAGCATTTTAGTCAAATGGCATTAAAACTACTATCAAAACAGTTGGGCAGGGCAGAGGGAATAAGGACTCTGTATTAGGGGTCTATTCAACTTTGTAATGTAAAGGACTGTCTAAAGAAAATGGCAGCAAGCAGTTCCAAAGAAACCAACATTAATAAAGCTGTGTTACCAGCACAGAGCTCAGTCTCTTAATGAGTTAAATGGAAAAGGTCGGGGGTTCAGATGGTATGGGATCTGCTCTGCTGCGTGTCCCCAAGAGGGACAGCTCATCTCCCTCATGTCCACACAAGAGGCCATGGGTACGAGCTGTGGCAGAGACTGGGATTTTCAAAGGCAGAGTGGTGCAGGCCACCCTGAAACACGCTTAGTCACAAACAGCTAAGTAGGTGAAACCACTAACTAGCCCTGGGCCCCCTGTCCCTGGATGGGTCATACCAGGCCTCCACTCACTCCTCCCAACCCCAGACTGGGCTTTCATCCACCTGCATGTGCTGGGCCAAGCTCTGCCTCCACTTAAGCAGCCCTACAGCCCCCACGCCCAGCTCGGCCTTTACATCTCCTCCTACTCAAGGCACATGCCAAATGGAGGAGACGCCTCAAGGAGAGACCCTGCTGCAGACAATGGTTGAGCGGAGCCCTCCGTCCACCCGGGCCGTGGCTGCACTGCTGCCCAGCAAAGCCCACGCCACCTGCACAGGACAGTAGCAAAGCCCTGACAACTTCCCGAGAGACTGTAGGCTTCTCACCATGCTTGTGAGAGATTCAGGTAGAAGTGGGGATATCTGCTCTGTCATCACAAAATCTGAAAGCAGGATCTCGCCTTTGCTCACTGTACAATGGGGAGGAGGAGTAGGAGAGGCTCTAGCTGCAAAAAAGACCTTTTAGGGAGGTTGGTTTCTCCCCTTTTCTACCTGTACATTTTCTTTGAAAAGATCAAAGCAGCAACAAATGGGGTTGTGCATGCAGAGAGGGACTTTTTACAAGGGCATGTAGTGATAGAAGAAGGGGTAAAGGTTTTAAACTGAAAGAGGGTAGATCTAGATTAGATCTAAGGAAGAAATTCTTCCCTGTGCAGGGGGTGAGACGCTGGCCCAGGGTACCCAGAGCAGCTGTGGCTGCCCCCTCCCTGGAAGGGTTCAAGGCCAGGCTGGACGGGGCTTTGAGCAACCTGGGCTCGTGGAAGGTGTCCCTGCCCAGGGCAGGAGGGTGGGACTGGATGATCTTTAAGGTTCCTTCCAACCCAAACCATGTCATGATTCTGTGATCTCCTCCTGGCTCAGCCCAAGGTGCAACATGGGCCTGGTAGTGATTTCACACTGCTCAGCTCGGTGCAGCAGGGCTCACACTTTGCCTTCCCCAGCCCTGTGTGCTGATGGGTCTCCTGCATCACTGTAGTAACATATGCATCTTTGTGACTTCAATTTGATAGACTGTTCCTCAAAAAGGCTAAACATACCTCTAAGATTTCCTCCCCAGTATGGGACTTGTGTGCCGAGACCACAGTGATTGGAGAGATAACATGATTGCCTGTGTTTTTTTCTACACCTCCAGTCTCAGCAACATGGGTGTGAGCTCTTCAGAGGCGAAAGCTCTGCACAAACTAAACTACTATTTTAGATGCACAGGAAAAAAATACTTCTTCTTCAGTAACCACTAATTAAATGGGTGGAGAAGATCCCAAGCAGCCTACAAACAAAGCATTTCTGAGCAGATTCTGCTAAGCTGTCTTGCTCTGAGTAACACCCCTTCCTCTAGCAGCCATTCACCTAGAAATAGATAGCATGAATGTGTGTCTAAAGACGGACAAACTTCCTCACCACAGAAACCTCACACCAAAGCCTCTGTACAGCAACAACTCCTCAGGTGCTTACTGAGGTTTAGAGAGGGAGGGCGCCTCGGAGGGGCTGTGGAGGGGACAGTTGGTCTGTGCCAGTGCAGGATGGTGCTGGGCAGGGAGTGCAGGGACGGTCCTCACTGCCACAGCCAGCCTCTGGAGCAGCTCTGAGCAGAACCATCACCACTCCTAACTACCAGCTGCTCCTGGGCAGTCAAGGTGGAGCAGGCCTTGTCTGGCTTGCTTTGAGCTTGCTGCAAAAACTTAGCTATCTCATCTCCACCAAGCTTTCAAATATGTGCAACTTAACCTTCTTAGTATAGGACTCACTCTGTCTCTCAGACTTCCCAGATTTCTCTGGAACCAAGTCTGGACAACATCAACCTCATGCTTTCCAAGTGATAAGGGTACAGCTGTAAAGAGAGCTGGAACCTACACCTCGCAGGCTGGCCAAGGCAGGTATCTCCCACCATGCATGACCGCATCCTGCCCTCGTCAGACCACACTGCCCTCCCAGCAGCTGCAGGGCACAGGTGGACACAAACATCTGCACTGGCATCTCTTACATTCTATGAACTGATGACAGAGCTGGACACAGATAGTTTGATGCCTTTCACAATCACTGAATGGACTTGTTACAAAACCAGATCCCTTGAAAGCACAATCCAGGCTGCTGCAGTGCACTGGAGGTGGCTGCACAGGCAGGACACACAGACACAGAATGTAGGAACACATCCAGACCTCCCTCTAACTTTCATGCTGTTGCTCACGGAGATCTGGTAATGTCTCCCGCCAGTTTTCTTGCGTGGGGCTTTCCATTTGCTGTTGCTGTCATTTTAAATGAACCCTGCTGTCAAGTACTGAACCAGAGAAGCTGACCGAAAAATGAGAGTTCAGCTGAATGTCAGGTGTGGGGGAAAAGTGTGAAGGCTGTCACCAAAAAAACTGTGACATACTTCAAAGATGTTTTCATCGAAGACAGAAAAAGAGGACACATCTGGGGAAGTGAAAATCAGGGTGGCTCATTATCATTAGCTTGTGACAGAAACATTCCTATGTCTCTCAGTTTCTGAATGAAGTCTCTGAAACATCACTGAATCACTCCAATGGGGTGAGCTGTCCCATGTGGGCACTGCCTGCACCGGCCAGGGACAATGTCTGACACCGAACACTCCTTGTCCTCAAAGGTGCTAAAAGGCTGCAGCATCTGTAACCCTGTCCACCAGAAACCCCAGCAGCAGCCTGTCAGCAGCTTTATCATCTTCAAAACTCCTGTTTCACTTCTGTCTGCTGACATTTTTCTACCAAGATGAGCACTTCATACTTCCGCCTTTCTGGACCTTGGCTTTCAAGCCGGTCTCCCTGCTTCGGTTCAGTAAAGATATGCACAGGTATTTCAAGTCTGACTTTTATCATCCTCAAAATTGCAAGAGCAAGTCTATAGGTCTATTGCCCTTGGTGAATGCCACAGCCCACAATCACTTGTTTAACCCTTGCCCTATGTTGCTGTATAAATATGGGCTCCCAAAACATCATGTTTCCATCAAAAATCACTTTGCACCAACCAGGGACCGAAGGACCAGGTATTCTCAAGTGTCTCAGAGAGACTCTGCATCATGCCTCCACCAGAGAGATGTCACATTTCAGAAGGGTGGGACACCATCATGCGCACCCATGTGGGTGACACAGCTCCTCCACGTCACTGCAGCTGATTTATGACCTGCTTCAGTTAACACATTTACACTTCTGCCTGTCACAAAGGTTATTCAATAATTTCTTCTGAGACTCGGGTAGCAGAAGGAAGGACATTGCGTAATCTAACCTGGTTTTGAAGCAGAGAGGTGACAACGGACAATTGCTTGCCAGCCACAACGGGAAGGGCAGGGCAGAACTGGCAGAAGGTGGTCAGGAGTGATCTTGGGGCAGAAAAGAAGAGATTCTTGTTTAAGATATAATTTAATGGTAAATTAGATCTTTTACTGCTGCTTACTTACTTTTCTTGCTGTTACTCTGGTGAATGGAAAAACGCAGCTGATGTTCAATACCTCTCTGTTCTCCCAGTGGCAACCGAGTAATCATGAAGAATTAAGCCCTCTATTTTATCACTTTGGGGCTACTTCCTTCCATGTTCTGGTCAGCAACCATATCAGACTTGAGTGGCATTTGACATGTCCTTAGGGTCTGGCTCCCAGTCCCCGCTGCCGGGCAGCCCCTGGTCACCCACAGTGCCACCCTGTGCCCAGGGGGGCCAGGCAAGCTCTGTGCCTGGGAGCCCCACACCCACCAACTGCGGCCCTTCACCATCACTGGATTTTCGCTCTCTGCCGCTGCGGTTACACGTTTTCATCTCAAGTGACACGGCTATATTCACAGTGGTTTAGCAGTTTTAGAGAGGGGGTGGGTTTTGGCTTCTGTTTGTTTTTTAAAGAAACTGAACTTTGAAAATTTCAAAGGCGCAGTAAACCGTGCAATGATAAAAGATATATCTCACTTTAATAACATACCTGGAATTTTTTCTCTTTTGCCAGCTGGCTGGACCCAAATGGTGGATTTTGTCCCTTTGGGAAGAGCAGGTGGTAGGTTCAGTAGGCAGAGAGCAGCAAGGATGGGGAATTTCACCTCCTGCTTTCTGAAGGTATGGTGGCCTGCAGCAGTCCCGGCTCTGGAAGAAGGGACAAGGGACCTCAATTGCAACAGCACAGATCTAGGTATTCATGTTTGGGTTTATTTGTTTTGTTTTTAAGATTCTTCTGTTCTCATCTCTCACATCAAGGACCTCAGAGCTATTTCAGTCCCAGCAGGGAGGAGTCAATAGAGGCAGATGCTTGACCAACTTCCTTGCTAGCTAAAGCACAATCTAGAAAACATAGGCCCTGCCAAAAAATTCCAGGGGAAGCAATGCGCTCTCCCCTTACATCCAGATGCCCACCTCCTGCTAGGCTTCCCAGGGCAGGGCCCCCCCAGCACCCACCTCCCTGGGTACCCGCTGCCTTCCCCCAGTGAAAGGGAAGTGGATCCCACCACCTGCCTTCTTGGGACAGGGATCCTAACCAGGCAGCATCCCACTGGTTTTCAAGAAAAATAAAATAAAGTGGAGAAAAAAAAAAAAAAGAGAAAAGGACTCCCGTAGACAAGAAAGCACAGTGGAAAAAGCACTCATGTTTCGAAAACAGGATTTCCCAGACTTTGGGTTTAAAGGCACACCCCAGGTTCAGATTGTGCTGCTGGAGACAATTTATCTGCACAGTCATTGTGATTTGATGTGACAATACTGAAACCAGTTATGAAATCCAGTATTTCTGTTTTTTGTTTAATTCACATTGGCTTTACTTTTATTGCT